TATAGACAGAGAGAAACTGGTCCCTAACAGCACGAAGGGACTCAGGGAGACGGGTGACTAGAAAGTAGAGGGTGATGTACATGGGAGGGGGGTTTTCGGCGAGGAAGGCAGCAGGAAGCGCAGCTCGGTAGCGAGTGTCACTAGCGCGAAGGTGGGTAAAGAGGTCTGTGACTGTGGGAAAGGCAACAAGGTCAGGGAAGAGGTACGGTAGCATGAGGCGGCTCAGTGTAGCAGTGGAAGGGGAGGAGTAGCGCGCAACTACAGCGTCGTACAAGGCCTGAGCGGTCTTGCACTGACTAAAGTGGGCACGCTCGGAGGAAGGGAGGTGGCGACGCACAGCAAGACGTGCAGCAGCATCGCGTGTGGCCCACTTGGAGCGAACAGTGGGGTCAGCATCAGCAGGAGGGGCAGGGACAGCGCCAGAGGCAAAGTCAAAGAGAGAGAGATGTCATCTACTGAATCGCACTGCAAGTACAGCTGCAGGTCCTCGACCCAGACCGCAAAGTCAATGGCGCGACCCTCAGCGTCAAAAGCCAGGACACTGGGGGTGGCCATGATAGCAGCCGACAGTCTCACCAGAGAAGAAGGGTCGAGCAGCTCAGTAGGACAGCAACACAGCAGCTCAGCAACTCCGCCGGCCCAGGAGTAGCAGTAGCCCCACAGGATCCGGCTCCCGGGACCGTAGACGGATCGGGCGGCTCGGGCGGCTCGCGCGGCTCGGGTGACGCGGGGGCACACGGGCGGCGCGGGCGGCTGCACGCGCGGCTCACGGGCGGCTGGGGCGGCTCACGGGCGGCACGGTGGGCGGCTGCACGGGCGGCTGCACGGGCGGCTGCACGGGCGGCTGCACGGGCGGTTGCACGGGCGACTGCACGGGTGGCGCGGCGGGCTGCAGCACGGGCGGCGGGGCCGCAATGGGGGCCGTAGCGGGGCTGCAGCGGGGCCTAAGCGGGGCCGTAGCGGGGCCGTAGCGGGGCCGACGACGGGCTGTAGCGGGGCCGTAGCAGGGTCGGCGGGGCCTAGGCGGGGCCGACGGGGCCGACGGGGCCGTAGCGGGGCCTAAGCGGGGCCGACGGGGCCTAAGCGGGGCCGACGGGGCCTAAGCGGGGCCGACGCGGGGCCGTAGCGGGGCCTAAGCGGGGCCGACGGGGCCTGAGCGGGGCCGACGGGGCCTAAGCGGGGCCGACGAGGGGCCGTAGCGGGGCCTAAGCGGGGCCGACGGGGCCTAAGCGGGGCCGACGCGGGGCCGTAGCGGGGCCTAAGCGGGGCAGACGGGGCCTAAGCGGGGCCGAAGCGGGGCCGTAGGGGTAAAGCGGGGCCGCGACTAAAGGGCGGCGGGATCGCGAAGGTAAGGGCGACACGCAGGGTCGCTAAAAAAAAAGAACGCGCGCCTCGGGCTGCGCTTCGGTGGGCCCTAGGAACAGTCCCTAGGAGGGGACCTGCTCTGATTCCATGAGAAGAATTGAACGAGAATGAAATGACTATGAACGAAGTGAGTACAAATAGGAAACCCTAATTGGGTTGTACCCCCTATGGGATACCCCACTATAGCCTACACAAATAAGTAAGCTATAATGTTCTGACACTTCTCGATTGACTAAAAACCCTTTGTAGAAGCACCTCAACACCTGGGCGAAATGAAACGAACAGGGCGAAATTCCAAAACGTTTATAAGCCCAGAGCACAACCCAAGTAGGGGGGACTTAAACGGGCATCAAGTGTAAGTGGGGTCACGGAATCAGTCACTAACCACATGTAAACAATCACATGAATGATCACACATGTAACTCCTGCAAAAAATTCTTGAAACTCTACAAAAATTCCGCTCGCAAACTTCCAACAAAACTAAAACCCAATCGGAATCGGATACGGTTTAGGAACGGATCAACCCTAACACCTGGCAAATCGTGTTTAGGGTTGATTCATCCGAAAACGCATCCAGATCTGTTTTAGGCATTATCTTTTTCGGTCGGGAGTTTCATTTGTGACCATTCGCGTTTTTTTTTTTCCAAGTTGATTGTGAATGATTTCGTGAAATGATTTATCAACCACGTGAAAGTATCATTTGCAGTGACCGTACCCGTTATTTTTTTACCAAACATATTATCAAGACCCTTGTTGATTACAACTGGCATATTTGCCCTTTACAGGAACAACGAAAGACTGAACCTACACTCCTAATTACACCGTTCTGACAGGGGACCCTTTCTCCTAAATTTTAGCCCACAAAATATTGGAACATTGTTATTGGAATACTTGAATTATTTTATGGACATTCATGGATTGGAACTTCATGGATTACCCGCATGCAGAAATTTAATTCCACGAGGCTTGGAATGACACGTAGCTCATTATCATGTATGGGGTGAAAAAAAATGACAGGCGACATTAGAGGTGGAAGTGGGACCTATACAAGCATGTGCATGAGTAATCATGTATTGGCGAGGCAGCGCCAGACGGATGGTGAGAGGGGCCGTCACTGAAGGGTTTGGAGAAGTAGTCATCCTTGTCGATGACAAAGCAGTGCTGGCGCGTGCCTGCAATCAAATCCGCTGCGAGCGCAATGATGACCACATTGAGAGAGAAAGAACGAGAATGGAATGACTATGAACGAAGTGAGTAAAAATAGGAAACCCTAATTGGGTTGTACCCCCTATGGGATACCCCACTATAGCCTACACAAATAAGCAAGCTATAATGTTCTGACACACCCCCATAGGCAGAGTGGGGGAGAACAAGGGGTCACAAGACCAGTCAAGCAAAGCAAAGCAAAGCTCAGGGTGGATCACAAAGTCACCACACATTCCGAGCACAAGTTCAAAGGCCAGAAGGCCGGTTCACATGCAAGATCACATATAGAGATATACAAGAGTCAAGCAAGCAAGAGCAAGAGTATATATAGGTGAAGGTACAAACAAGGTCAAGAAGTGAGCAAGTGAGGCAAGACAGGCACAAGACCCAGCTGCGTGCAGCAGCGCTGATGATCACAAGGCGCAAGTACCTTGGTGAAGACATCAGCAGTGCTGGCCTCAGAGGCCACGTACGCAAGTCGCAACTGTCCACGCTGCTGTAGCTCACGAGCAAGAAAGTAGCGGAGAGCAATGTGCTTTGTCCTGTGCTCTAGTCGCTGCTCTCAACACAAGGCCAGCATGGCCTTGTTGTCTACGTACAGGACTGGAGGAAAACGAGGCGGCTCTCCAAGGTCGGTCAACAGGTAGGTGAGCCAGCGAAGCTCCTGGGCAGCCATAGCCCCGATGTAGATCTCAGCCTCACAACTGGAGCCGAGAACAGAAGACGAGCAGGTAGCCCGCCACGAAACAGAGCCGGAACCAAGGCTGAAGGTGTAACCCTGTGACGACCGCTGCGTAGCCTGGTCGTCAGCCCAAGAAGCGTCCGCGTGCCCAGTGAGGACCACTGGACTACGCTCTCCAAGCACTAGCCCCATGCCCGACGTACTGCACAAGTAGCGCAACACCCTCTTTGCTGCAGCCATGTGCTCTGGTCGGTGTCTCCCAGGAGCAACATAGCGTGCGAGAATGCTAAGAGGGTATGCAAGGTCAGGTCGTGTGCAGGTCATCAGGTACATGAGGCAGCCAACAAGCTCTGCATATGGGCCACTCGACTCTACGGACTCATCCGAAGGCAGAGCTGAGAGCGAGTGGCGAGTAGGCAGAGGAGTGGCCTGAGGTGAGGAGTACGTGAAGCCGAAGCGCTGAAGGACCAGCTGCACCATGAGTGACTGAGTCAGGGTAATGGTGCGGCGTGCTCTGTCCCGGGTGATCTGCAAGCCAAGGTAGCTGCGCAGTTCACCCAGGTCAGTGCACGTGTGTCTCTTCTGCAGCTCGGACTTCACGTAGGCGAGTCCAGCAGTGTCAGCTGTGGCAAAGACCAAGTCGTCGACGTACACGAGGATGTAGAACGGCGGCAGAGAGGTGTCGGTGCGCAGAAACAGCGACGGGTCGGCAGTAGAAGGAGCAAACCCAAGTGCCGCAAGCGTAGTCCTCAGTGTGTTGTGCCACTCACGTGGCGCCTGGCAGAGACCGTAAACTGGACGCCGGAGACTCCACTGGGTACCAGGAGGGAAAGACCCAGAGAAGCCAGGTGGGCGACGCAGCCAGATCTCCTCGTGCAGGCTGCCCTGCAAGAAAGCAGTGCTGAAGTCGAGAGAGTGCAGCTCGTAGTCACGGTGAGCAGCAACGTGCAGCAGTACCCGAAGAGTGGTCATCTTCGGGGTGGGGGAGAAGGTCTGAAAGTAGTCAACTCCCTGCCGCTGACTGAAGCCACGAGCCACGTAACGCGCCTTGAAGACAGGCGGAGAACCCGAGGGCCGCTTCACCCTGAAAATCCACATGCCACTGACGATGTTTGCCGCAGGAGGGGGGACAGCGTCAACGTAGGTGCCTGTGGACTTCCAGGAAGCCATCTCTGCATCCATAGCTGCCTGCCACTGAGAGGAGTAGGGACCCTCTATCGCCTCCGCGTAAGAGCGCGGAGTCGGGATGTCTAGTGCATCCGGGTCTCCCTCAGGGGTGAGCAGTACAGACGCGAGATGAGGTGAAGCGGCGGCCAGACACTGGAACTCCTCCTGCCTGTCCTCAAGGACGTCCGTGCCAAGGGCACACTCACCCCCGACGGACGGAGGACAGGTAGACTCAGACTCAGCGACAAGACTAGCAGCGTAGTCTAGAAGGCAGCGCGCAGCAAAGTCGACGAGCTCAGTAACAAGGGCAGACGCAGCAGAAGACTCGAAAGAAGGGTCAGTGACGGCAGTAGCAAGGAGACGCATGACAGTAGGACTGGCAGCACGAAGAGAGTCCGACTCCGGGTCGGCAAGAGCAGGAAGAGAGGAAGCAGGAGGAGAAGGCAAAGGGGCACGCAGAGGAGCAGTAGACGGACGCAGAGACATTCGGTGCGTGCCAGGGACAGGAGGAGGACGCTGACGCGAACCGCGACCACTAGTGCGCGCAGCAGGAACACGCGACGCAGGACGAGACGCAGGCTCACGACGCTCAGTAAGACCTCCAGTCGGACCAGCGTAGGGAGAAGGAGCAGGCAAAGGGGAGGCAGGCTGTAGCTGTGACTGTGACTGGACAGGCTGTGGACCCTCTAAGGGAGGAGGAGGAGGACCAGTAGAAGGTGTAAGACCAAGAACCTGCTGCAGGAGCGGAACGAAGTACGGTCGGGGCCGCGTGGCGACGCCAGAAACAGCAGGGACAGCACCAGTACCCCCAGCAGGAGCACCCGCTCCAGCAGCACCTCCAGCAGCACCTCCAGTAGCTCCAGAACCCCCAGCAGTACCAGGAGCACTGCCAGTCGGACCGCCTGCGGTAGTCTCAGCGCCAACACGCTCAGCAGCACCAGCTCCAGGAGAACCCGCAGGCCCAGCAGCTCCAGTACTCCCAGTACGAGCACCCCCGGGACCCGCGGCAGCAGCACCCTCAGCAGCCAAAGAACCTCCAGCACCAGTAGCACGCCTCCAACGCCGGGAAAACCACTCACGCAGCTCCTGTGGGGAGAGTGGCTCTCGGCGAGGCGAAGCACCTGGAGAACCTCCAGGCGAAGAACCTCCAGGCTCAGCACTCCCAGGCAAAGCACCTCCAGGCGTAGCACCTCCAATCTCAGCACCCCCAGGCTCAGCACCCTCAGGCCCAGCACCCCCAAGCTCAGCACCCCCAGGCTCAGCACCCCCAGGCTCAGCACCCCCAGACTCAGCACCCCCAGGCTCAGCACCCCTAGGCTCCGCACCCCCAGGACCAGCACCCCCAGGCACAGCACCCCCAGTCACAGCACCCCTAGGCTCAGCACCCACAGCAGCACCAGAGTCACCAGTGACCTCGACAGGCTCGACCGCGTCTACCTGGGACACACCTGAAGGGGCAGGACCCTGAGGGGGAAGGGGGTCTACCGGGTGGGGACCTGGTACCAAGAAGAGCGGGGGTGGGGGGAGGGACGGAGTGCGGTAGGGGAAGAGGCGGTAGTAGGGTACCGACTCGTCGAACGTGACGTCCTGGGAGGACAGAACACGTCGAGAGGTGGGGTGGTAGAACTGCCACCCAGGGGCGTCGGGGGGGAACCCCAGGAAGACGCAGGGAGCAGCGCGAGGGGACAGCTTGTCCGCAGACAAGTCGCGGACAAACGCCCGAGATCCCCAGACCCGGAACGTCGACGCATCGCCAACCTTCCCCGTCCACAGCAGGGCTGGGGAGGTCTCCGGCCTGGAGACCCTGGGGTGGAGGTTGATCTGATGCGCCGCGTACCTGACCGCAAACGGCCACAGAAAATGGGGGGCAGCCGCATGCATCATAGACGTACGAGCGACGTCCATGACCATGCCAATGCGGCGCTCTGCAATCCCATTTTGCTGCGGTGAGTCCGGAAGCGTGAAGGTCTGGCGGATGCCTCGCGCACGACAGTAGGCACGCAGAAGGCCAGAGGAGAACTCTCCGCCTCTGTCCGAGTGCCGACGCAACACAGGAAAGTCCGAGCCAAAGCTCTGCCTGAGCTGGAGACGAGCTGCGCGGATCCAATCGATCAGCACCTCAGTGACATCGCCCTTGCTGCGCAAGGGGAAGACTGTGGTGTAACGCGAGTAGTCGTCAACCACCAACAGGAAGTAGCACTCGTGACCGAGTCCACGGACGCGGGCAGGGCCCCACACGTCCATGTGAAGCGTCTGCAACGGAGCCTCTGTCGGAGGAAACTGGGAGGAGTGAGGGGCAGCACGCTGGCGCCCCTCGACATAGGGGACACAGGCAGGGCCAGGGCCCTAAGGAAGGGGAGGGAGGGACCGGGGAAGACCAGACACAAGAAGACGGGAGGCCATGCCTCTGAGCCGAAGCAGAGAGGGGTGACCCAGGCGGTGGTGCCAGAGGAGAGTCTCGTGAGACAGGCGACGACACGAACAGGGGGCAGACTCAGGACCAGACCTGGACGCTGCAGCAAACACCTGACCTGACGAAGGGACCCTACTAGACTCAGGAACTGGAGGAGAAGCAGTGGTCAGTGTGTACAGGCTCGACCCTGGGTGACGTGTAAACATAGCCAGGTGACGACCTGTGCTAGCCTCTGTGCAGTGCGTCACTCGCTGACAAGCAGGGGTGAACTGGTGGACTCCCGCATCGTGTAGGTCAGCACCACTCACCAAGTTCGTAGAGAAGGAGGGGAGGTAGAGACCAGACAGGGTGCCAGAGGGAGCCGCCGGACACGGGAGGACTGTGGAGAAGCGAGACAGAACATGACCCCCAGAGGGGTCAGCCAGGGACACTGCAACCGGCCGACTAAGCGGCGTGAGTGTGGTGCGGTCCCGAAAGAAGGAGCGAGACGCTCCAGAGTCAAGGGTGAAGGTGTGGGAGGCCAAAGCCGGCGCAGTACCTGAGAGCGCAGACTCACTAGTACCTGAGAGAGCAGCCTCACCAGTACCTGAGAGCACAGACGCATTGGCACCTAGAGCAGAAGCCTCGCTGGCACCTAGAGCAGCAGTACCAATGCCCGGGTCGGGCGGGAAACACCGGTAACAGTCACCGTCATCACTAATGGTCACAGCATACATGGCAGCAAGGATAGCATCAAAGTCAAGATCAAAGATAGCTACACCAGCCCTAGACAGCTCTCCCCAGCGGGGGATCTCCGCGGCCTCCGGGAACTGCTGGCGCCAAGCGTCCGTCAGGCGGCCAAAGCAGCGCTGGGCGGTGTGGGTACCCCCACACTGCTCTCCAGCGCGGTCGCCAGTGCGAAGAACGTAGGTGCAGGGACCAAAACCCCCACCACGCTGACGCTGCGTGTACCACTCACGGAGCTGCTGAGGGGTGGGGACGTCGCGAGAACGCTGCTGGTGCTGCTGCTGCTGGCGCTGACCACCCCCAGTGGTGCTCCGCTGCGAAGCGTCACTCCGACCACCTCCACCACCACCACCCCCGCCTCCGCCTCCACCGCCCCCGCCTCCGCCTCCACCGCCGCCGCCTCCGCCACCTCCGCTCCCACCGCCACCGCCGCCGCCACCCCCGCCTGTACTGCCGCCACTAGCACCCCCACCCCCGCCACCACCTCCACCGCCACCCCCATTCCCTCCGCCGCCTCCACCTCCACCTCCACCGCCCCCGCTGGCCCCACCCGCTCCCTTGCCCCCCTTGCCCTTGCCAGAGCGGCGTCTCCCGCTAGGGGCAGACGCCGCACCGACCGGCTCAAGACCAACGAGGTCGGCCGCAGCGGGAGAGGCGACAGAGGGCAGGAGAGGGGAAGGAGAACACCCCTCAAAGATGGGGGCGCGGGGGTCACCTCGAGAGGCTCCTACAGCGACTATGCTCTTCTCCGCCGCTAGGAGGGCCTTCTCGAGGCTGTCGACTGTGAGGGTGGTGGGACAGACCGCAAGAAAGTGGTCCCGGACTACACGAAGGGAGTCAGGGAGGCGAGTGACTAAGAAGTAGAGAGTGATGTGCATGGGGGGGGGGGGTTCTTGGCGCAGAAGTCAGCAGGAAGCGCAGCGCGGTAGCGAGTGTCACTAGTGCGGAGGTGCGTAATGAGATCAGCGACAGTGGGAAAGGCGGCAAGGTCAGGGAAGTGGAAGGGGAGCATGAGGCGGCTCAGTGCAGCAGTGGCAGGGGAGGAGTAGCGCGCAACTACAGCGTCGTACAAGGTCTGGGCACTCTTGTACTGGCTAAAGTGCGCGCGCTCAGCGGTAGGCAGGTGGCGACGCACAGCAAGACGTGCAGCAGCATCGCGCGTGGCCCACTGTGAGCGAACAGTGGCGTCAGCATCAGCAGCAGGGGCAGGGACGGCGCCAGAGGTGAGGTCAAAGAGAGAAAGACCGTCTGCCCTATCGCACTGTAAGAACAGCTGCAGGTCGTCGACCCAGACCTCAAAGTCAATGGCACGACCCTCAGCGTCAAAAGCTAGGACACTAGGGGTAGCCATGACTGCAGCCGGCGATCTCACCAGACAGGACGGGTCGGGGAGCACAGCAGCACAGCAAACACGGCAGCTCGGCCGGCCCAGCAGCGACAGCAGCACCTTGGCACCAGCGGCTCGGCTCCTCGGGCGGCTCGGGCAGCTCGGGCGGCTCCTCGGGCGGCTCGGCTCCTCGGGCGGCTCGGGCGGCTCGGGCGGCTTGGGCGGCTCGGGCGGCTGGGGCGGCTCGGGCGGCTCGGACGGCTCGGGCGGCTCGGGCGGCTCGGGCTGTCAGCGGCACAGGCGGCTCCTGCGGCTCGGCTCCACAGCTGCGCAGGCGGCTCGGGCCGGTGGCTCACGGCAGGGACAGGTGGTGCACAGGTGGCCGGGAGCTGGGCCGGGACGGGTAGCGCGCGGGCGGCTGGGAGCGGGGCCGGGACGGGTGACGCACGGGCGGCTGGAAGCGGGGCCGGGACGAGTGACGCACGGGCGGCTGGGAGCGGGGCCGGGACGGGCTGCGCACGGGCGACGAGGGGCCGGGAAGGGTGTGCGCGGCCGGGACGGGTGGCGCACGGGTGGCGTGGGGCCGGATCGGGCGGCGCACGGCGTCGAGGGGCCTGGCGGGCAGCGCGCGGGCGTCGAGGGGGGGGCCGAGACGGGCGGCTCGCGGGCACTAAGGGCAGCGCGCGGGCAGCGTGGGGCCTAGACGGGCGGCTCGCAGGCTAGAAGGGCAGCGCGCGGGCGGCGTGGGGCCTGGACGGGCGGCGCGCGGGCTTGAAGGGCAGCGCGCGGGCGGCGTGGGGCCTGGACGGGCGGCGCGCGGGTGTCTAGGGGCCGGGACGGGCGGCGCGCGGGCGTCAAGGGGCCAGGACAGACGGCGCGTGGGCGTCTAAGGGCTGTTAGGGCAAAATGAAAAAGTAAGAGAAAGGGCCCGGAGCGCGCTCCGGGCAGAAAAAAAAAGTTTGATGTGGTGGGCCCTAAGCACAGTTCCCACGGGGGAACCTGCTCGATACCATGAGAAAGTAAGAACGAGAATGGAATGACTATGAACGAAGTGAGTACAAATAGGAAACCCTAATTGGGTTGTACCCCCTATGGGATACCCCACTATAGCCTACACAAATAAGCAAGCTATAATGTTCTGACACACATGCCGTCAGAATCCCAGCCACTAAGCATTGGAATAAAATGACTTGTTTGTGTAGCGGGCGAGTGCGCCCATAACCCCCCAAGCCAACGTGCCTGTAACCCTTCTCTGGGATCAATCGGGGATCTCCAGTGGACCTCTGACACATCCCCCTCCCCCCCCCCCCTCCCCCGCCCTGAGCCCACTCTCACACTCAGATCTTATGGGCCGCCTCCAGACCATCCATACCCGGCATCTGGGCAGGGAGAGGTGGGATGGGGAGAGAAGTGAAATTTGAGTATTGGCACAAAATGCCCACTGCGTCGCCTTCAGCCCATTCATGCAGACATCTAGAGGTCCGTGAGGACAAGGTGGAAGCAGGGCTCTTGCTAACTTTTAGGCCCGTCTCACGTTTTGCAAAAAAAAAAAAAACTTTCGTCTAACCCTCATACGGAGGATTTTTGGTGGTCTTAGTCTCAGACAAATTTTAGAGGTTAGTATGACGGTTCAGACAAATTTTTGAAGTGATCCGACATTAGTTTAATTCTATACAACTACACACTAATAACGATCTACAAATAACCATACATTAACATTTCACTATTGCTACCATGAGAGTAATCATCCTCGTCGTCACTGTCTAGCTCTGAATTTGAAGTCGTGGGCTCTTTGCCGTAGCCTGCCCGTCTCTGCCAGGGGCCCAACTCCTCCTCTAGCATGCCTGCTTCTTCTGCAGCTGCTGCTTCACGAGCGGCAGCCTCTGGTGCTGCTGCTACTGCTGTTGTTGCCGCTTGCTTCGCTGCCAGCATCGCAAGGTTCTTCTTCGTGCGCTTCACAGACCTTTGCGCATGCACCATTACCACATCCTTGGCTGGACGTCTCTTCTTCGCACCTCTCCACACCTCTACAAGGGCGGGCCAGTCAGGGTCATACTTCAGCATGGAGATGGTCATCAGGTCGCCAAGCTTCGCGTCGTTGAGATTGCCACACAGCCAGATCTTAATGACGTTCTGTCGGGAAAAACCCTCCCTGCACTCCACAGTGATCAGGGGCAGAACAGCGACCGCCATCCAAAGGCGGACCAGATTTGGGTAGGCCGTGCACCAGTCAGACGAGTTGAGCATCTGCTTCAGGCCGTCCCGGAAGCTCAGCTCCTGGTCATGGGTCGACATGATCATGTTGAAACTACATATTTTCTTCTGTGCCCTCGTCCAGTTGATTCCCCGAGGTGGGGTGTGAAACAGATCAGCTATAATGAGATGACAAGAGTTGTTGTTTGAAAGTAAACAAAGTCATGCATTCAACTAAACATATGTTGACACAAACAACATCGACAACTCAATCAAGCACAAACATATTTGAAGACGTACCAGGCAGGGTGTCAGTGTCGGACGGTTTGTGCTTAAACAGGTTACGGAGAACCTCCAGCCACTGCAAATACCGAGGCTGCCACTTCGAGTGAGATTTCGGGTATGCCCCTTGCGTGAACAGCCTGGCGCCGTCGAGTGAAGTCTGACCCACTATCTTTTGTTTGTAGAGGGTGTACTCATGAATAGTCGGCGTCCCATTCGAGTTGGTGTCCGTCATCTTCACTTGCCTCTTTTCCGACGATCAATGCTTCGCCAAGAAGGCGCTCAGCTCGTTGCTCCCAACCTCGAAGTCGTCTGCGTCACTTAGGTAACGGTTGCGGAGTGTGAGCCTAGTAATGTCCACCATCTGCAGCACGTGTCACGTTGACCTTCCACACACACATGAGAGGCAGTCGAAAGGCATGCAAGGGTCAATATTTAATGCGGAGATAACTCGTACAACGGGAGCTAGACAGCGGGCTAGGCACGGGTGCTCGTGAGATCTCTGCGTTCGTTCCTTAGTTGTTCTCTAGCACTTGTGCATTCACGGGGCAAAACTGCAAGAGTTTCACTAGCAAAGGTTGAGAACAAGGATTCCGAATGATAGTAACAAAGTTGGCATGCAGGACTACATCAGACCCAGCAAATCTGCTGGTCGACTTCCAGCGCAGCACGGTCGGCTGCGTGCCACCACGCCTTGGTCGACTGCGCTCCAGCAGAGCAAAGTCGCGGCTTGCCAACATTGCAAGTCCACGGTGTACCAATGCTGCAGCAAGTCGGCTACATAGCGTTCCACCCGCAGAACAATGAAGCACCTGCTTTGCAGGTGCGCGCAATTGGTTGGTGCACTACTCCTCGTCACGTGCACAGTGCAGACGTCTAGGTCGACTCCACATCAGCGACTACGCCCACCAGCCACATCGACCTCAGGATACCTTCCGAGGTCGATCTTGCCACTACCGCATGGGAAATCGTCGCACTCCTCCGCAGAACCTTGTCACCCAGGTAACCTGGTCGACCGGGCAACCACATCAACCAGCTGCTCCTTCATGTGCCCGTCGACCTCCTAAGTCGATGACCACCTCCAGTCAACCTCGCCAGGTCGACCACACCCCTGGTCGACTAGCTCCAGGTCGACGTTACTCCTGGTCGACCAGCTCCACGTCGACCAGCACAGTTATTAGCCGACCACTCAAGTCAGCTTCTCCAAGCCGGCGTCACCAAGTCGACGCCCTACTACTCGACCACCAGGTCAGGCCGACCACCTGGTCGAACACCACAAAGTTGGCGCCCTGAAGTCGGCGCCAGAGCAGTCGCCCCCGCGCAGGTCGACCACATCTTCGACCAGCTCGCCCAGTGCTGCAAGCCGGCTGCACTCCCCCATACACCAACCACGAGGTCGGCTCCGCCCAAGCGAGGACCGGGCCACACCCAACTCCCGTTAACACTCCCCTGCCGCGTTCACACTTGGGCCCCCAGCCCACACGGTAGCACTGCTCAGAGAATAGCTCGTCGGCGTGCACCCTAACCATAGCACGCCAGTCACTGCACCAGCCATGCAAGAGGGCATGGCACCTACTCCTGCACATCGTCGTTGCCATCGCCCACGTCGGCCAAGCGCACCTGGCCGAGTGCGACGGAGCATTGGTTGAAGGCCGGGTAGTGCAGCGCCTTTGTCAGGAAGTCGGCCGGCTGCTCAGCTGTCGGGATATACTTCAGCGAAAACTTCCCGCGCTTCACCATGTGATGCAGCCAGGCCTGTCGCCGCTCCATGTGTTAAAGGTTGCCGCTCCTCACCGTGAGGCCGCTCTCCAGCTTGCTGCAGGCGAAGGCGATGTCCGGCCTCGTTGTCGTCGCCGCGAACTGCAGCAAGCCGACCTTCTGCCGGTACTCCTCCTCCTGTCACTCTTGTGCATCCTCGTCATCAAAGGTGAGCTCGGCGTAGGCGTTGACCGAGACCGGCGTATTGGGGTTTCTCTCGGTCTGCTCCTTGTCAAGGAACCGCCTACGTAGCTTGTCGGCGTAGACCTGCTGGTGCAGTAACAGCTTCCCCGCCGACCTGTCCTGCATGATCGCCAGCCTGAGGTACTTCTGCACTGGTGAGATCTCGCGTAGCTTGAAGACGGCTTCGAGTAGCTCCTTCAGCTCCTTCAGCATCTCGGCACTACTACTCGTGGCGAGCAGGTCGTCGACGTAGACTAGCACCCAACATGCCACTTCATCGTCGCCGACCTTGAAGTATAGAGCCTCGTCGACCTGGCTCTTCTTCCACCCGACGCCGACCAGCACGTCGTTGAGCGCCTTGTACCACAACAGCGGCGAATGCTTCAGTCGGTTTTTCTCTTCAGTAGCTTACACACCCGCCCGGTCCCGTCATTGAAATAGTCTAGCTAGTACATGTAGAGCACTTGGTCAAGCTTACTCTGCAGGAAGGCGTTCTTCATGTCAAGGTGCATCAGGTTGAGGTTGAAGACGGGGACAATGCTAAGGAAGATCCTCAACGTGACGTAGCTGCTCACTGGCACGTACGTCTCGTCGTAGTCGGCGCCATA